AGTTTTATTCTGTTTTGTTGTCATCTTACAAACGTTTATGGACTCACCTGACTCCTGGTTTTATGGTCTTTTACTCCAAATTGTTTTATACATTTTAATCAATCTTTTATAAAGAACTGTAACTTAGGGTGTCTTTGTTTTATTCATCTTTTACTAATTTGTTCAACTAGTTATTGCTTTGTTGCTTTAGTGGAGGTGCGGCCGCTTGTTGAGGGGCTAGGCACGTGAGGTGGAATCCCCTCCCCGATGCATGAGTGTACACACCGGGCATGGGTAGATTGAAATCTAAATGGTGCAATGTGAGTGACAGTGAGGTTTGCAGTGGAACTACACGGGTGAGTAATTGGTGGCACCCTTGGACGCTCCTCTCTGTAGGTTGCCTCCTCAACTGGTCTGTCTCCACAGTTTTGTTTAGTTATTTTACTAGGGTAGCACTGTGGTAGCGAGCCTGTTTTAATCACTGTTAATAAAGTGTTTTAAATAAGAGTGTTGCGGTCTCAGCCCTGCTACCCTAAGAATTTCTCTGATCTTACAGTTCTATGCTTTTAGTAGTTTTTCTTAATTTTGATTTGTAAAACTGATCTGCCTCACCTCTGCTGTTAAGAACGAGCCTGTGGGCTTTGGTAGCTAGTGTAATATCTATATGGCTATAAAAATCTTTCCTGGGGTGTAACTCTCTTCCCGGGTTGCGTTGTCAACATCCCTTAGGCTACGTTCACACTGCAGGTGTTAATGCTCAATTCAGATTTTTTTTTTTTTTGATCAAATCAGATTTTTTTTTGTCTGCTCGTTCACACTACAAATTAAATGCGACAGCAAACGCGCTCTAGTGTGAACGCTCAAAGCGGCCCGCATGCGCAAAAGAAAACGTCACACACAACGTGCTCTGTACACCCAGAACAAACATTATTTGACTGATGGCCCTTAATATAAAGACTTCGGACTTTACGTTTCCCAATTTTTGCTTTAAGTTTTGTTATTTACATAATAATGTAGATGACCTAATAATGATCCTTATTGCTGTTTTAGAGGAGCGGTGCTTCAAAGGATAGTTGCAGATTTGTCAGAATCTGCAGATTATACAGTACAAATAAAATGTTCACGTTTCCCCAACGTTGTCTTCCCAACAGTTTCACTAACATCTACACTTATTGGCCAGGAAGCGTTTGCGATGTCTTCTCCGGCGCTGATAATTGGCGTCTGTCTTGTGTCAGTGACGTAAAAGACGGATTTAATGCGACATGAC